GGCTTATACGCGGCCGCCCCGCATGGACCCGTTTGAGTTGCACGTCTTGAAACGCCGTTTCGCAAGATCCGGAAATTTTTCTGAAACATTCCTTCTTTCACCTGTCAAGCGAGTCGGGGGCATTCTGAGGTTCTGTGGGATTGCAGGGCGAACCAGTTGAATACTACTTGGAGTTGGGAGGCTGAGGGCTAGGGGCTTTGCAGGGAATAGGCATTCGATGACACGTCAACGACTTGGGTGCCCGACGTGGAGCATCGCCCGCCCTTGGCCTTTCTCCTGCATTCCACGCATGCATGGCTTTCCGTGTCGAGGGAGCATGTCAAAGGGGCTCCAATCCCGAATTGACGCGGACCATCATGCAACGCATGGGCGGGGGGGGGGGGCAAGCCGAGCCTGGGCCTTCGGGTTGTCCAATTTTCTGCATCCAAAGCAGCCCTCGCAAGCCCCCAAGAATCACCATCCCAAAGCCCAGTGCATCGGACAACAGCCGCTGTGTTTTTTGCTGCGCGAGTTTTGTTTGCCTCTGAAGTTCGTGTGCCTCTCTCGCGGCGCCCCGAGGCGACGCAGGCTGCCAGCACCTCGCCCGCGGCTTGGGCCAGATACCCCGGCTACAGAAGCTGCGCCTCGACTTGCAGCACAACTCCGTCGGCCCGGGGCCTCAGTGCCCTCAGCTCAGGCAGCTCTTTTAACAAAAAAGGGGAGGAGAGCCGGCCGTTTTTTGCAAGGCATGCTCTTTCTAGGTTGGCAAGAGCCTGAGGCGGCGAAGGCTTTATGAATTTGTACGATAATAGCATGTCCCATGCCACGCAAAGTGAGGCCCACGCAAGCGTTGCAACATTTTTTGTCGCAGTTCTGGAGGATTTGGCCGCCTGATGTCCCCCCCTTGAACTGAAGCCCCCCGCCGCGGCCATTTTCGGAAGGATTGGGAGGCCGGTCCATGGGAAAATCGCGGGCCATCCCAATGCCCGGGCATGCCCAAGCAGCCCGGGTTCGGGCCTTGTTCCGTGCCTTGTTGAGCCCCTGAACAAACAGTTGAAGGTCTTCAACTTGTCAAGCCTCTATTTTTCTCGACGGCTTCCCTGGGCTCCTCGTGCTCCTTTCGCTTCAGAACACCCAGCGCTCCTCAACGCGGCCCTCTAGACCCTCGAAACCTCCTCAGCCCTTTAAAGGGCTCCTGAAGCCCACCAAGTCTTTTAAGCTGATTTTTTCCATTATCACACCCTCCAAAGTTTGTAAGCCCAGGAGCTCCTTGCAGGAACTCCCAGTGAAAGATTTTCTCCGAGGCCTGGAGGGAGGCCGCTGCCTGGGCGGCGCCGTCGGCCAACTCGCGGAGCTCCAGGAGCTGACCCTGAACTTTTTCGGCAACAAGCTCGGCTGGGGGCCCCGGAAGGTTGCAGGACCTCGGGGTTGGTGTGGGGGTCGCGGAAGGGGGGGACGTTCCAAGCACGTTCCAAGGTCGGAGGAAGAATGAAAGCACCGCTCACGAAATCCCGAGTAATTAAGTTGGAAAAAAGATTCTGAGCAAGATGTTGAGTAAGGAAACAGGGAATGAACTTTCGAATAAATTAGTCGAAGAAGCGGTAAGGGAAGGGACCTGTGGGCGCCCGCCTCAGCCACAACGAGACTCACAATCTGTAGATCATTCTGTTGAGCCCTAATGGTTTCAGGCGGCCCCCCCCCCAGACTGCAAATCAGCCAAAATCTGGGATCTCCCCTCCCAAAAAAGCATAACGGCGAGACTCCAAAGTCGAACCCCCGGAGCATTCGAGGCTCCAAACCCGGAGCCTTTGGACATGGCAGCTCGAAAAGGTCGAACATATCCAGCTTCTTTGAAGGTGTCAAGAGAGAAGGGGTGATCTGCCTGATGGATCGTCGATCTATGTCGGCCTTGGTTGAGCTCGAGCATCCGATCGAGTCGGCTTTAGGCTCGGGGTTTGCATACATCCAATGCCTGCGAAAAGCGGAGTGAACTTGTCAGGTGATATCCCGCATGGTGCGCGCGTACCTGTTCTCTCCCCAATTGCCTGTTTGTTGCCGCCTCCGCCGAACGAGTAAACCACATTCTGCCAGGCTCATGGGCTCGACGCTTCGGTGGCCGGGGGGGGGGGGGGGGGGGAACGCAATTGGCGCAGCGGCGCCTAGGCGAGAGCGCGGCGTCGCGCGAAAACCTATAGGTAGCTGCGAAACATTGCCGGAACCAATGGGTGCCTATAGCACGCCGCATTTGTTTTGTGATTCCCTATATATGGAGCCCGGAGTAAACTCCTCCTCCCTTCATGGTGTTGGTGAGGTGAGTCTAGTAGGAGCATGCTGAATTGTGTTGGTGTTGGGCTGATCTGACTTGTCATGCTTCGGACGGAGAATCATCCAAGTTTGCGAGAGTCACAAGACATCTCCATATCCGCATCCTTCCAAACGTTTCACACAGCGCCCCAAGCCCCCGAAAGCCCCGTAGGCTGCCTGTAGGTTCGGGAGCCTAGGGCGCCATCGCATGTGGCTGAGGTTTAGGATGCCAGGAGGGGACGCGGAACCCAGCCCGCAAAACCCCCCAACCCTGGCCATCAACGGTACACTTCTCGATTCATGTCGGTTTGAGTAACCAACGTCCGGTGGCGCAGGCGTAGCTCATGGTAGGTGACGGTTGTGGCGTGCGCATCATCCTTGCAAATTGGGGCCTCACTCCAAATCCGGGCTTTGGGCAGTTTAGCGCCCGAGACTCGATGTCTCGAAGCCAAGGCTTCAGCCCGAAACTCTCTCAAGCCCAAGTTGGAGCCCTAAACGCCTCCAAGCTTCGAGCCTCGCAGCTTCCAGTAGACCGAGAGTCCGAGCATGCCCGAGCATGTCCGATGTCATGGGCCCCGACTTCTGCGTGCGACTCTGGTCCGGCGACTTATGCATGCAAGATGCCAGGTATGGCTTAAGCTGCCGCCCCGCATGAACCCGTTTGAGTTGCACGTCTCCAAACGCCATTTCGCAAGAATCTCCGGAGATTTTTCTGAAACATTCCTTCTTTCACCTGTCAGGCGAGTAGCGAGTCGGGGGCGTTCTGAGGTTCTGTGGGATTCCAAGGCGAACGGTCGAGGTTGAATATTACTTGGAGTTGAGAGGCTGCGGGCTTCGGGCTTTGCAGGGTTTAGGCATTCGATGACACGTCGTGGTTGAGCATCAGTTGAGTTTTTTCCCTTCGGACTTCTGGCATGGAGCATCGCCCGCCCCTGGCCTTTCTCCTGCATTCCACGCATGCATGGCTTACCGTGTCGAGGGAGCGTGTCGAGGGGGCTCCAATCAAGCAATGGACACGTACCATCATGCACCGCATGGCGAGAGATCCCTAAACTGCGCTTGGGCGCATCGGCTCTGAGATGCAATGGGTTCGGAGCTTGACGTCCTGTCCTGGGCTTTCGGGTTGTCCAATTTCTTCATCCAAAGCAGCCCTCGCATGCCCCCAAGAATCACCATCTTCAAGCCCGGTGCATCGGAAAAACCGCCGCTGTGTTTTGTTGTGCGTGAGTTTGTTTGCCTCTGAAGTTCGCGTGCCTCTCGCGGCGCCCCGAGGCGACGCAGGCTGCCAGCACCTCGCCGGCGGCTTGCGCAAGATACCCCGTCTGCAGAAGCTGAGCCTCGACTTGTTCGACAACTCCGTCGGCCCGGGGCCTCAGTGCCCTCAGCTCAGGCAGCTCTTTTAACAAAAAAAGGGGAGGAGAGCCGCCCGTTTTTTTGCAAGGCATCCTCTTTCAAGGAGTTTAAAGGTTGGCTTTCGGGAGCCTGAAGTGAGGCCCACGTAAGCGTTGCAAGGTTCATGCTCCCTGTTTGGGAGGGTCGGATTGAGGCCCCCTTGCAGCCATTTTCGGAAGGATTGGGAGGCCGGTTCATGCGAACTTCGCGGGCCATCCCAATGCCCGGGTCATGCCGTGCCCTTTTGGGGCATCTTAGAAAAAAGGAAGGTCTTCAACATGTCAAGCCTCTTATTTTCTCGACGGCATCCCTGGGCTCCTGTTTCTCCTTTCGTTTCCTAAGTCCTAGCCCTCCTGAACGCGGTCCCTCGAAAACCTCCCGGACCCTTTCGGCCCCCTGAAGCCCACCAAGTCTTTTGAGCTGATTTTTCTCATTATCACACCCTCCCAAGTTTCTAAGCCGAGGAGCTCCTTACAGGAACTCCCAGTGAAAGATTTCTCCGAGGCGTGGAGGGAGGCCGCTGCCTGGGCGGTGCCTGCGGCGAACTCGCGGAGCTCCAGGAGCTGACCCTGGGCTTTGCCCAGAACGAGCTCGGCTGGGGGCCCCGGAAGGTTGCAGGACCTCAGGGGTTGGTGTGGGGGTCGCGGAAGGGGGGGACGTTCCAAGCACGTTCCAAGGTCGGAGGTAGAATGAAAGCACCGCTCAAGGGAATCCCGAGTAAGTTGGAGAAAGGTTCTGAGCAAGATGTTGAGTAAGGAAACAGGGAATAAATTAGTCGAAGAAGCGGTGAGGGAAGGGACCTGTGGGCGCCCGCCTCAGCCACAACAAAACAACCTGCAGAGCATTCGGTTAGAGCCCCAAGGCCCCGAGGAAGGGCTCCGAATTCTGGGATCTCCCCCAAAAGAAGCATAACGGCGAGACTCCAGCCCCAGCCCGCCGGAGCATTCGAGTCCCAACCCGGAGCCTTTATAGAGACATGGCAGCTCCAAAAGGTCCAAAAGGTCCAACACATGCAGCTTGTCCGGGAGGGAACGAAGAGTATAACAGTATAGCAGGTTTTAGGTGTCAACAGAGCAGGGTGATTTCCCGCATAAATCGTCGATTTATGTCGGTCTTGGTCGAGCTCGAGCATCCGATCGAGTTGGCTTTGGGATCGGGGTTGCATATATCCAACACTGTGAAAAGAGGAGTGAGCTTGTCAGGTGAAATCCTGCATGGTGTTTTTGGGGTCTACGCTTCGGCGTGGGGGGGGTGGGGGGGTGGGGGGGAACGCGCGGTGTCGAGCGAAAACCGATATAGGGAGCTGCGGAACATTGCAGGAGCCAATGGGTGCCTATAGCACGCCGCTTTTGTTTTGTGATTTCCTATTGTGTATATATCTGGAGCCCGGGGCAGACTGCTCCTGATTTCATGGTGTTGGTGTGGTGAGTCTACGTAGTATGCATGCACTCAAGAAGGTTGGCATGAAAGGGTTCGGAGCTTGACGTCCTGTCCTAAGCCTTCAGGGTCTCTCCCTTTTTCGCCCCCGATATAGCCCTCGCAAGCTCCCAAGAATCACCATCTTGAAGCCTGCTACTTAGCTACTTCGGCAAAAGGAAGCCGCTGCGTGTTGTTGCGTGAGTTTTTTTGCCCCCAAGAAGGGGGGAGCGCGTGCCTCCCGCGGGGGCGCCGAGGCGGCGCAGGCTGCGAGCACCTCGCCTGCAGCTTGGGCAAGCTGGGAAAGCTCCAGAAGCTGGTCCTCGACTTGCGGCGCAACTCCGTCGGCCCGGGGCCTCAGCCCCCGGCCTTCAGTTCAGGCAGCTCTCCGCGGATGAGTCCCGTCTCTTTGTCGATGCAAAGATAGGTCCCATCGTTTGAGTTGCCGTTCAAGAAGCCTGAGGCGTTGAAGTCCAGGGGTATCGGCAGGGTTCGCAGGCAGGTTTATAGGGGTGGTGGGTGGGTTGGGTTTACTATCGTTTGGCTTTTTGGGCAGAGGGAATTAATTTTAAAGAGCCCAGCACCTACAAGGCTCCAGGATGCTCCAGGACTCCAGGATATTCGACTTGCTTTTAATACATTGTGATCGTTACCCTGTTGCTCTGCTCTTGGTATTCTACTGCTGTTACGACTTGTACTTGTAGACATAAATTAAGGTTGTCTATCCCTCGCATCTGCCAATGTGATTGAAAATTCAGGCCGAGGGGTTTTTCATCGTGCTTCGTGTACGTGGGAGAGCTTCGAGCCACAGAGAGCATGCCCGGAGAGTTCCGGATCCTCAGCCCGAGGTCCGAAAGGCGGCCAGTGCCTGTCCGATGCCCTCTCCCAACTGGCTCACCTGGAGTCCCTGGTGGTGTGGCTGCATGTCAACGACATCGGCCCGGCGCCCGGCAGGGGCTGACGGGGCTCCAAGATTCCAAGGATGTGGAACTGCGCGGATCCTGCCGGCTCGGAATGCACGGAATGCGCGGAATGCATGGGATACTCGAACCTCTCCGCCGTAGAGAACGGGCCCTCGAAACGGAAATAGATGAAGCCTGCTCCCCTCTGACCCCCGAGGCCCCGAGGCCGGCCGATCCCTCGCCGCTGCCTTGGGCCAGCTCGCCCGGCTGAGCACACTGAAAGTGTCTCTGGATGGCAACGGGCTGGGCCCGGGGGCCCTGCGAGTGCTGGTCGTTCAACGCAATGGGTGGTTCAAAGGAGATGAACTCATACTCTTTGGTTTGGGCTTATGTAGAGTCTTGGGGTTTGGAGCAGAGCAATGTTTTGTTGGCTGGCGTGTCTCAGTTCTTCCCCAGATTGTTGCAGACGACTTGGGCGTAGAAGATCTGCACGACCAGTTCTGGGCTCGGAAGCGAAGCCTTCAACGCTTCAGCCCGGCACCACGGCATGGAACATGTAACATGTCCTGAGACCTCCCGACCTACACGTCATCAGCCGCCCGGTCCCCCCCCCCCCCCCCCCCCCCCCACCACGAGGAATCGGAGCCGAGCGGCGGACTTTCCGGAATGCGTTGTTTGCTCCCAAAAAGGCCCGGAAGCTGCCCGCGCGCTGGCCGGCGCCCTCGGCCGGCTCGCGCAGCTCCGGGAGCTGCACGTGGACCTGGAGTACAACCACATCGGCCCGGGGGCCCTGGGAGAGTGCTCTTTGAAACTTCTGGAGGGTCGATTTCAGGGATTCAAGGCCACCAAAGTGTAGGGTGGGTCTGTTTTGGCTCGCAGGGCAGGGCAGGGGGGGGGCCTGGAGCCCCAAAGCCTGCAGCTCATCGTGGCGACCGGCTTAACGTACGACCTGTTCCCCTCTTTTCTAGTTGTACTTCTCTTGGGCAGGCCCCCCTCTTATGGTGCTCCAACACCCCCAAAAGTTGAAGCTTGAGAACCTGACCCCTCAAGAAAGCCCTCTCTCGGAGCCCCTGCAGGCGAGAAGGAAAAGACGGAGATCCGCGGGCTCCTGGCGGCGCTCCCGGCCGCCGAGAAGACGTTCTTCCTGTGAGGATCCCCGCTTTCTCCGCAGGCCCGGGTCGTTTTTGTGGCGGTGGTCTCTGAAAGCGGGCCCTGTGCTTCTCTCCGTGTGTGCTATTTAAGGGGTTTTAGGGGGCGGAGCGTTTCAGGATTGGGCGCCAGCCTCGGGACTGGAAATCAGCGGAGTGGTGGAAGTGCTTCTTTAGGCTTCGCTTTCGGCGTAGCGCCCGTGGGAGCCGAGTTTGCTACGGCCCTGGTGAGAGCCATATGGGCTCCGCGTCTCATGGTGCATCAGGGCGGGTCCGGGTTTGGATCTCGCTAGGGGTGGGCCAACCTCGAGAACTCTTGTAGGCAGAGGTGGGGTTTCACCTTCGGGAAGGCTCGTCTTTTGCGGCTCTTAGGGGGGCGGGGGCGGGGGGGTGGTTTGGGTGTGGATCGTCATGGCTCGCTGTGTTGTTGAATCGAGGCGCCGGGGCCGTGCTTGCTGACGTTTCCGTTTCCGGTTCGTTTTTCTGTAGGCCCGAAGGCCACTCAGCAGGTCGAGGCAGCACTGTAGACTTGGCGCCAGCAAGTGGATTTCACCTGGAGATCCCAGTTGTGGAGCCGCTCAGCCTGAGATGCACTTGATTCAGCAACGCTGCCAGGAAGCTGGCGGAGGCGAAATCTGGAGTGAGCGCCGCTGCGCACAGTCTCCGCGCATTGCTGGCATCTGCACTGCACGATACTGCACGCTGGGCCGGTAGGCTGCTTGTATCAATGTACTTGACATGTGATTTACTGAACTGAACACTATAATACACAGGGGGGCGTGACAGATGCCACTCGAATTGGCAGCCGGCCTCTTGGGGGCCAACTGATCCGTCCTGTCTTCCTCAGTGGCGAGGCTGGGGTTCCAAGCGTCTTAAGGCACAATTATTATCGGCTGATCAGTCAGGAGAAGCAGGTGTCTTTTTCTGAGTGGCGAGGCTGCAGTTAGCACATCAAGCACAAAGCCTTGCCAACGGGGCCGTGGCCCCTGCTCGAACCACTTTCGCACGGAGGATGCTTTTGGATGCTTTCGGGGCTCAACAGAGCCTGGTGCGTTGAGTGACAAGGTCTTCAGGATTCGATGCTAAGATAGACACGCAAAGAGGGTACAATATGTACAGTGAGCCGCCTCGGCCAGCTGAGAGCACCGAAGGCTCCAAAGGCACTTCATGCCGTTATACGCCGTTTCACCCGTGCCCGCCAATGGACGCCCCGCTGCTTAACAGGGAATGCCAGAAAGCGGTCGTGAGTTAAAGGTCTTCGAGGTCTGAAAGCTGTCAGGCTGCAAGGCCTTCTGCCACGAACGAACTCCCCCCAAAAAAGCCCCGGGCATGCGTCCTTCGGGGTTGCACGTTGAGTTTGGTGTGCGCATGCCGGCATTGACTTGAAGGTGTGGAGAGAGAGAGAGAGAGAGAGAGAGAGAGAGAGAGAGAGATAGCATGCCGCGCATGCGAGGAGGAGCAACTGGGTGCAACGAGAAGGGGACCACACTACAATGAGCACGAGCAGCACCACGACGCGCTCGCCGACAGCACGGAAGCCGACGTCGAGGAGGAGCACGACCATGAGGAGCTCACCTACGACCAGACCGACGGGGACCAGCACGAACCGGAGACGGCGACGAACCTCGACGACAAGATAGGGGGCAACGCAGACCAGGAGGAGCCACAACGACGAGGACAGAAGAGGAAGCGACAAGCCGAACAACCGCGAAGAAACCCAGGAACGCCGGGAAGAGAGGAGGCCACCACAACGGAGACGAGGGGACCACCAGCTGAGGGAGGAGGAGAGCAAGCCACACCTGCTGAACGACCACAAGACGGAGACCACGATGGCCAACGGGGAGAAGAACGACAAGAGGGCCCAGACTCTGAGGAACGCAAACTAGACCCGAAACAGTCAGAGAAATGAGCTGACGAAGTTTACTCCCGAGGCTTCACACGTAAGCTTAGGGAGTCTGGACTAGAACCGCTGGGCCGTCGTGGCCGGGGGACCTCCATTGGGGGGACCCTCTTGAGCGTGGAGAAGAAGAAGAAGAATAGTGTGTGTGTGTGGGGAAAGCCTGTTACCAAGGTCGTAATGCAGCTGCCTCCGTTGTGCTTTTCAGCTTCTCACCTTTTCATTTTGTATGCGCAGGGGCGTCAGGCCCAATGCACCTACCTGACGCAACGAAGCTACGGTGCATTGGGGGATGGGTGGTCTGATCAACCACCTGTACCTGCCTTCTAACAAGATATAAAGTGCTGGTTGTGATGTTTAGGAAGCTGTGCAACATCATTGCTTCGTAACTTTATCTAGAGTGAACTCACGTGGGGTTCATGCAGGCTCTGCCTTGAAGTCTTCACCTCTGAAACATCAAGTGACCAGAGGGAGGATTGCATGAGTGTGCTCTAGACGGTTTCTCGTTCAACGTGCCGTCTACGGTAGGGTTGCCTACTGTGTTGAACCCTGATCGGTTCAGAAAAGGCCTTAAGACCTCCAATCTGAAAGGTTCAGGCTCTGTCTTTATGCTTGGGACTCTGAAACAGTCCAACCCGACAGGAAAGCTGCGTGAATCACGCACCTGTCAGGCTTGAGATTCGAAAGGCTCGGAACTCCGTTCTGGCTGCGTTTTTTACAATTTATCCTCCCCATAAGCCTTTGTGAGGCCAGTCAGGTTCAAGTCTCCGTTGAGAAGCTAGCCAACTTCCCTCCATCATGTCCAGCTCATGGTGGAAACAGTCGGAGTGGGAACCTTCGTCGTCTTGGCGTTGGCATTCGCAATCGTCTTGGGATGAGCAAGATCAACCTTGGGCAGCCACTACCAAGCCGGCCGTGCCTGAGAATGTTCCAGCTCCCAAGCCTAAGTTGTCTGACCACTTTCAATCCGACGACAAGTTCTTTGATCGGCAACCAGTCGGCAAAGGGTCGCATCAGCTGTTTCGTCATGTTCAGCCTGCGGAATGGTCACGAAAGAATTCGTTGGCTGGTAGGCCCATAGAAGACATTCGAGCATGGGAACTCAGCCACCGTGGTCTTTCTGAGTTCTCCTTTCGCCTCCTTAGTGAAGGCCGATACCAAGGAATTGTTTGGACAAGGTCCACATCCGAAGCAGTGTTTCTTACCCAACTTTTGAAGAGAATGAGAGAAGTTGGTGAAGATATCGATGAAGTCGCCAGAACCTTTCACACCGACAGCCCACCTGACAAGCGCAAGGATGCTTCCAAGTTCATGGGCAAAATGTGTGAATCCATTGTTGACGATCTCAAGAAGAGAGCACCTATTGTTGACTCTACTGCCAGTGAAGAGTTGGCCCGGGCTAAAGCAAAGCTTGCCCAAGCGGGCCTTACACTTACTCCGACTAAGAGATCTGCTGAAGACGAGCCTGAGAATGCACCACTTCGGGCCAAGCCGAAGGCTAAAGCCAAGCAAGAACTTGGGCAAAGCCGCCCTTCTTCACTCGATGCCCAGACGTTACTGCAGTTTCCTCCGGCTCGAATTTTGGATTCTCGACCTGTTGGTCCGAAGGATGAACAAGTTGAAGAATGGCTTCAAACTTTTAAGTCCAAGCCAGATTTCAAAGGTCAGTTTGCCAATTTGAAGAAGCATGTTTTGGCAGTGCAGAAGATCTTTGAGAGTGGAACTCCCAAAGCCACCATCACAGCAGCGGCGGTTAAGTTTGGTCTAGATGACAAGATTGCGAGTCGTCTGACCATTCGCAGCCTTTCGACCACCATTGCGGTTGCTCAGTTCACGGCAGCTTGACTAGCCTATGAAGCCCTTTCGATGGCTCATCGTGATAGGCAGCGTTTGAAGCAGGACATATGTGTTGTTGGAGAGGCTTGCACCTTCTTCATACATCATTGTCCCGAGTTTTCCAAAGCTCCTTCTATGTGGGCGCAAGGATTGCTACATCTTTGCTTGTTGTTTTGTTTCTCCGATTCGACTCAGCAATCTTGCGCAGAGCTACTCAGACGTAAGCTACGTGCACTCAAAGTGCACCCTGCGATGTACACATGGCCACGTTTTTTGAAGTCCAACGCCGTGTACATCAAAACCAAAGTCGATTGGCGCATCTTTTCAACTGTTGAGAAATATCGGCAGCCTTCGACTATGATGTACGTAGGGTCCACCAGCATATCAGTTTCGCGTCGGGAGTCCAATAGGCTTTCCGTGTACAGGAAGCTTGTTAAAGGACAGGAAGCGCAGGCTGAGTTGGCCCTTCGATATTGGGCCTCCAATCAGTCTATTGAACAATTTACAATTTTTCAGGTTGCCACATGTTCGGATTATCAATCCGCGTGGGTTTTGGAGCATTGCCTCATTGATGCGTGGCAACCAAAACTCAATTTTCCGTTCATTCAGTCCTTTCTGAAACGCTCCGCGCTGGGCTTTAAGCCAAGCAGACAAAGAAGAATGTCGTCGTACAGCAAGTTTGGCAGAAGATTGTGGGTGAAGCTGCGAAAGAAGCTCTTTACCCAAGACCAACCTTACGCCTTCCAACTGTCTAGGCTGAAAGCCTGGAACATTTTGTATGATCTCACCAGCCTTTCCAGAGCCTCGTTTGAGAGAGCGAGACAACTCCGGTCTCAATCGTTTGTTGATGATGAGATTTACTCGCTCATAAGACTCAGTGCCAATCTTCAGGAACCTTTGCGAAGCAAAGGACGCATGATTCTGAAGTCTGTGGCCGGCTATCGTAACATGACATGGCCGAAAGGATCTTTAGGGATCCAGTTGCAGTTTACTGCTGATGAAAGGTTTCCACAAAGGATGTCAAAATGGCTCCGGTCGGTTATAATTCGGTTTAAGCATGTGCTTGTTCCGTTTCACCTACCGTCTGCGTCAGTTCGAGAAAAGCCACATCAGAGTCTCAAAGACTTCCTTCACAATGTCCAGCAATGGGATATGTGGCTCCAACATAATTCGTTTGAAGAAATTCCGTGCACCTGTCAGTTCTACAAGCGTGTTCTTCCAGATGAATGTTTCACGTCTGGGCATGTAACAGCCGGACTTGAGATGTTG